CGTGCCCCCCCCCCCCCCCCTTTTCTGGGGGGATACAGGGCTGTACTCTGAAATGCTATGCCTTGGTGGGGTGCCCACTATCCCTACGACCCCTGCCCCTCCTTTGCCTAGTGGCCTCAGCCCCTCCCTTGCCCCACCTCTGCTGCCTCCAGATCTCCCTGCTGGCCTCATGCCCGGCCCTGCTCCAGCCCCTTGGCACTCTGCCCAGTGTGGGACGTGCGGCTGGAACCCTGCCACCCTGCCTCAGTGTTCCAGCCGAGAACAGAGGGCGGGGCCCAGGCCTGGAGGCCCCAGGGTGAGGCCTGAGAATGGGGGCTGGGGCTCGGCACCCCCCAACCAAGAGGAAGAGAAACCCACCTCCCCTCCACCCTGAAGAACTTGCCACTGGCATGGTGAAAGTAGGGAGCCACTGCCCCACACTCGGGGCTGCTTCTGGGCCTCTCTCTTCTGGCACTCGGCTGGATATTGGGGGGTCTTGCAAAAAGTTAGATTTGGGGGGTGGGGGCTTAGGTTGTATCTGGGCAGGGACCCCTCCTGGCACTGCCTGTAAGTGAGAGGCCAGAGGCAGGTGTGGGTTTGAGACGGGACTTGGGGTGGGGACCGGGGGAGTCTCTCTAACCCTGACTCTGCCTGTCCCCAAGAACGCAGTTATCCAGTGGGGTGTTCGTCCCCAAGTCCTGTTTTCTCCGCAACCTTCCTGTTCAGTGGGCACTCGGGCGAGGTGCCCATGGGGACTTCTCAAGAGTATCCCTGCACGGGGCGGGATGGCTGTCACCCCAAGCTGGAAAAGGGAAGGGGACAGGAGGTGTGGGGTACCCACTCACCATTGCCTGGGCCCCCTTTGGCTGAAGTGCCATCCTGGGGGTGCAGGAGGGGACGAGCGCGCGGGGATCCGGGTGCGAGTTACGGGGCGGTGCGCAGCGGTGGGATAACACCACAGGAAAGGGCTGGCCTTGGGTGGGGAGGGGGGGCACCCCAGCTCAGCCAAGACAGCCCCCACCCAGCCAGGAGGGGGCGCTAGTGCTACTACTCTACTCCAGAAGATCCCTGAAGGTGAAGAGATCAGTGGGAAGGGAGGATTAAGTGTCATAACAGATTGTACATTTGTTCAAGAAACAAAGATGTCCATGGTACATGTCTATAAAAATTCATGAGCTGCAGCGAAGGGTGTGTGAGGAGGTCCTAGGAGCAAGGCCACATTTTAGCAGGCATGGTTTCACCTGCTCCTTGGTTTCCACTTCTTTCTCATCTCCTGGAACAAACTCTCCCACTTTGTTCATGTGGAATATCGCTACCTTCTTTTTTGAAAAATTTATGTTACATTCACTCACTGTATATCATTACAGCATACAAAATGAATTTTCTCATCCAGAATACACTGAATAGTGTCCCAATCAAAGATATTACCATACCTATTACCTTCAACAGATCATTTTCTATTTTGTGTTTCTTAACTGTTTTACTTCTTTCTTTTTTTCCCCTTGATTGCCTCCCTCTCATCCTCTGCCATTTCCCACCCTCCTAGTATTTGATAGAATGTGGACAAGTATGGAAGATTTACTTTTTTTCTTGAGTTTTTTTTTGTTTGTTTGTTTATTTATTTTGCTATAGGGTACATGTACTCACCAGAATGACAGAGAGAGACAGAGACAGAAAGCGAGAAATTACCCCTCAGAGGGGATGGCCATGCCACAATCCCTTCTCCTCCATTCTCCCTCTTGGGATTATGAGCATGCACACACATGTGTCTGGCATGAGTTTCAAACCTATGGGTCCAGAACTTGAACTGTGGTTGACTATATGGGAGTCGAGCAATATAACCATTACACCATCTGCTGGTCCCTTAAAGATTTACACTTAAGTGAAGCAAGCCAGGCTATGAAAGAGTTTTGAGAGGGGACTTGGGGTGGGGACCGGGGGAGTCTCTCTAACCCTGACTCTGCCTGTCCCCAAGAACGCAGTTATCCAGTGGGGTGTTCGTCCCCAAGTCCTGTTTTCTCCGCAACCTTCCTGTTCAGTGGGCACTCGGGCGAGGTGCCCATGGGGACTTCTCAAGAGTATCCCTGCACGGGGTGGGATGGCTGTCACCCCAAGCTGGAAAAGGGAAGGGGACAGGAGGTGTGGGGTACCCACTCACCATTGCCTGGGCCCCCTTTGGCTGAAGTGCCATCCTGGGGGTGCAGGAGGGGACGAGCGCGCGGGGATCCGGGTGCGAGTTACGGGGCGGTGCGCAGCGGTGGGATAACACCACAGGAAAGGGCTGGCCTTGGGTGGGGAGGGGGGGCACCCCAGCTCAGCCAAGACGGCCCCCACCCAGCCAGGAGGGGGCGCTAGCGGGGGCGGGGCCAAGGCTGGCCCACCAGAAGAGGTGGGATGGAGTTCCCTGGTAGGCCCAGATCCAGGGATTGGAATGGGGGGGCCTGGAGGGGCCAAAATCATGGGGTGTGGATGGATCCAATGAGACCCGGGAATCCAGAGAGGAGGGAAGGGGGTGAGACTTGCTGGATGCCTCAGATTGGACAGGGAAAACTGAGGCTCTTGGCCATTTTCTGGCGTCCCCTGAGAACATGGCTATACAGGCCCCCCTGACAGGGGTCTCAGAGCACAGACCCCCCCTCCCAGATCTGTGTCTGCTGGGAGGTGAACTCAGGAACCCCCATTCCCTCCACCCAGGATGAGCCCAGCTGTGAGCACTGAGGCAGCAGCGCCCCATCCTGGCTTGTGGGGTCTTATGCTGAATCAGGCACTCCACCCCCAAAATGAGGCTTGGGTGGGGCCCCCTGTCTCTCTAACGGACTGGGTGGGGTGGGGGAGTAAGACAAGGGGGCAGACTTTGGGAAGTAGGTCACGCTTTATTTCAAGGGGTGACCCTACCTTTTTGAAGGATATAAAGAGGGACCTTCCCAGGCTCTTCAGAGAGAGGCTCTCCTCCACCCTAAGCGCGGCCTGGGAGACTGAGGCAGGAAGGGTGCAGTCCAAGGGGGTTTCTCTTCTCTGGAACTCAGGAGCTGAATCCCCACTGGGACCCTCCATACACGGGAAGGCTCAATTTTGGGGTACCCCATATCCTCTAGATCACAAGGGTCTAGCGCCGAGGAATGTGTGGGGTCCCGAGGCCGGAGGGATCGGGACATGGAGGAAGGACCCCTCCTACAGAAGCCGGGAACCGGGCAAATCAACCACCTTTGATTCTGTGGGCCCTCGAGTTTCATCCCCGATCGGGCGGGGAAGCGAACCCGCGGTAGCAGGGAATCAAGGATCCAGACCCCAAAGCAGCTCCAGGGAGAGGGGCGGGGCAGCGGGGGCCGGGGGAAATCCCCCACCTGCAATCCCGCAGGGTGTAGGCAGCGGCGAGGATGCCTACAATTGCTCGTCTCGGGGCGTCCTTGGATGGCACCAGCGCACCCCAGATCTCAGGGGTCTGCAGGATAGCGTATCCCCCCAATTCCCATCACTCCTGCCCCCAGACCCCAGTACCTTGCGCGCTGCAGCCCCAGCGCCATGGCTCGCCGGCCCGTCGCTGCTCCGGAGCCCTTGGAGGCCCCTAGCCCCCTCCCCTGGCCCTGCGAGCCCCCTCCCCAGCTCCTCCTCCCGCCGTGTGGTTGGCCGCGCGAGCCCAGCGCGCAACTCTGGCTGGACGAGTGGTCTGTCACTCTCAAGAAGGAGGCGGGACCAGAGGAAAAGGCTTGGAACGCCTAGAGGAGTGTGTGTGTGTGTGTGTGTGTGTGTGTGTTAGGGGATTCCGAGTAACACACACATACACACACGCACACCGTCCACGCCCCTCGCGCTGTCGCCAGCTCGGTCCGCGGGCCGCGTCTTCTCTGGCCCTGCTTCTCCAGTTCCAGCACCAGTTAGCGAGTGAGCCCATAGATCCCCTGTTCCCCCTATCCCGGTCCTCGGTCCCCACTCTCTAACGCCATCCCCCGTCTCTCCCCGACCATTTCCTACTCTCAGTCGGCCCCAACCCCTCGGGTTCTCTATTCCCTCTTTCTCATCCACTGGCTCCCCCACTTCGCTCTCCAGCCTTCTACCCCTAAACCCACCCAGTTCCACAGTCCTTGGCCCTTCTCCTCCGCCCCCAGCGCCTCTGGCCCGGCACCCTCTGTACCCCAGACCCACGCCAATCTGACCCCTTTACCTGGCTAACTCCCTTTCCAGGTTGCCACTGATGAATAATTAAGCCCATGTCAGATACGTATGTTTTAATTCGATCACATCTACTTTTAAAAAATAATTACTTGTTGGGACCAGCAGGTGGCGTTGGTGGTTTAGGTGTTGTACTCCCACATGGCCGACAGTGATTTGAGTCCCAGACCTGGCGGCTTGCTTTCTCAAGCATCTCTCTCTCTCTCTCCAAATTACAAGATAAATAATAATAACAAATAAAACTAAATTTAAAAATCTTTAAAAAGACTTATTTAATTTCATATGTTGTTATTATTTAATTTGCTACAGAGCACATGTGCTCACCAGAGAGAGACAGAGAGAAAGTGACAAAGTAAGCCACCAAATCTGGGACTCAGATTGCAACATACCCATATGGCAGCCCAGTACCTTAACCACCCCGCCACCTGCTGGCCCCTCACACCTACTCTTTTAAAAGAACAAAGAAGGGCCAGCAGGTGGCGGGGTGGTTAAGGTACTGGACTCCCAGATGGCTGACAGTGAGTCGAGTCCCTTGAGAATCATGCCAGGCATGTGTACGTGTGTGCCCAAAATTCTAGGAGGCGAATGAAAGAGAAGGGATTGTGGCATGGCTATCCCCACCCCCACGCGGGGGGTGATCTCTCATTGTCTTTTCCCCTCACAAGGTCTCTCTCTCTCTCTTACCAGCGAGCACACGTGCTCTATAGCAAAAACCTAAAAAATAAAAAAATAAAGGCAGAGAAATGGTACATTTACCAGTCACATAAGAAGGGAGACGTACAAGGATCCACAGGTGGCATGGAGGTTAAAGTGCTGAAATCCACATGGCCAGCTATGTGGTTCGAGTCCTGGGCTGATTACTTGAAAAGCATGCCACAGAGGAGAACGGAAAAGGGATTGTAGCATGGCTATCACCCAGGGGGAGGGGTGGGCTTCCTCCCTCCCTCTCTCTCTCTCTCTCTCTCTCTCTGTCTCAGGTGAGCTCACACACCCTATAGCAAAAATAAATAAATAAATCAACCTAACCAAAAATAAATAATACAATAGTACCATAAATAATACAGCCTTACCCAGGGTCATGTATGTGTGCCCAGAATCCTGAAAGGAGGGAGAATGGAGGAGGAGGGATCGTGGTGTAGCCATCCCCCCCACCCATCCCCCCCCCCCAAGGGGGGATTTCTCACTTTCTCTCTCTCTGTCTCACTCAGGTGAGTTCATGTACCCTATAGGAAAACTTAAAAAAAAAAAAAAAGTTTTGCAGTCTCGTTTCAAGTCTCCTCTATTGACTTCATCTCACACAGCCTCTCCTCTCTTGGAGGCACTGGGAGCCCCACCAGGAGTCCCCTCACTTCCCCTCTCCAGCTGAGTCCGGCAGAAATAAAACTGCTTTCCAGGGACCAGCAGATGGCATAACAGTTACATAGCTGGATTCCCACGTGGTCGACCGCGATTTGAGTCCCAATCCGGGTGGCTTAAACCTCATGCCGAGTGCATGTGTGTGCGTGCCCAAAATCCCAAGAGAAGAGTGGAGGGGAAGGGCACTTTCTTTCTGTCTCTGTCTTTCTGGTGAGTGCATACAACCTGTAGCAAAAATCTCTCTCTGAAAAGAAAAAAAGAAAGAAAATGTTTAAAAATCCTGCTTTCCTGATACTTGCAACAAATGTCTCAGAGTTGGGTCTTATGGGTTTTGTTTTGATTTTTTGTTTTTGTTTTTGCTGTAGGGCACACGTGCTTGTGGGAGAAAGACTGAGAGGGAAAGTGAGAAAGCACCTCCCAGGGGGAACCAGCAGTTAGCGTAATGGCTATGTCGCTGGACTCCCACGTAGTTGACCACAGTTCACGTCCCAGCCCCGGTGGCTTAAAACTCAGGCCAGGCGCGTGTGCGTGCGTGCCCAAGATCCCGAGAGGAGAATGGAGGAGAAGGGACTGCGGCATGACCATCCCCCCGGGGGGCTTTCTGTCTCTATGTCTCTCTCTGTCTGTCTGGCAAGCGCACGTGCCCTATAGTGGAAATCTCTCCAAAAACAAAAAAAGAAAGCACCTCCCAGGGGGATGGCCAAGCCGCAATCCCTTCTGCTCCATTCTCCTCTTGGGATTTTGGACACACAGGTGCCCGGCGTGTTTCTCAAGCCATCGGCTCTGTGGGATCCAGCTGCCTAACCTCCATGCCCCCTGCTGGCACAGTGGGAGACCATCTTGACCCCAGCACTTGGGTGCCTGGAGTCAATCATACCCAGACTCTAATTTAATGCTTTAATTTTCACATGAAGCATTATGGTTTTGGGTTCTTGCTATTGTTGTTGCCTATTGATTTATTCATTCACTTTGTGCTTAGATTAATTTCAGTGGATTTCATCAGCTTACACCCAAAAGAATCTTACAGTGGGTGGAACGTTCTGAAGCTTCTTCACTCACCTGTCAGGCAGGTGATGCCAGCTGGGATCTCACCTGTGGGCTGTGACCAGAATCTACATGTGACCTCTCCATGGGGTTGCTTGGGCTTCCTCACATCATGGAGGCTGGATCCCAAGAGAGAGATGGGGTTAGAGATAGAGAGATGGAGGAGAGAAGAAAAGAGAGGAGAAGCCTTGGCTCCTTTTCTTTTAAAAAATTACTTATTTTATTATTTATTTATTTATAAGTGTACTTTCTTTTTAAATTATTTGTTAAACTTTATTTACTTATATAAATTTTATCAGAGAGGGCGAGAGAGAGAGAGAGAGAGAGAAAGTGAGAAAGCAAGCCACCAGGTCTGGGACTCAAACCACTGTCAGCC